TTTTCACTATTTTGATCATCTTGATATAATGGTTTGGGAATAGAATTAGTATAGTCAACAGTTTTTAGTTTTAAAGATCTTGACTTTGATAACGAAGATTTTGAAGAGCTTGTTTTTGGGATAAAAGAAGTTGATAATCTGGATGATGAAATTTTTAAGGAAGAAAAATTTATATCTACTGAACCATCATTATATTCTATAATATTTGAGATTTGTTTTGAAGAGTCTAGTGGTTTTGGATCGATAACATTTTGTAAATTACAATTACATGATTGAGTTATATCAGACCATTTTAACCTTTTTGGTGTGTGGACTTTGGTATGGTTAGTATTTGCTTCAAAAATAATTGTTTCATTTTTAGGACTTGATAAACGTGTTTTCGGTTCAAGTGTAGTTGTCATAGTTTTGTAACAGACACGATAAATTATTGCTAAAGGCTTTGTATCATCTTTAAATTCTAAATTTTTTGTTTCTACAGTTAACACTAAAGTATCTAAAATATTTTTATCAAATAACCCTACAGAAAAATTTGGATAACAATTGAAATAAATAGGTCCGTTAGCAATATTTGTTTCAGCCATAGCTAAAATAGAATTTTGAAAATCTTTATGTCTCTTGTCTCTTAAAATAAGGAGAACAGGGGCATCTATTCCAAGTCTGAATAGAGGCTTGATAGCAATTTGGACTAAACCGACATGTAAAAATTTATATTTCATTCTATGTTCTAGAATAGATCGTGATGATAATAAATGTAAATTTTGTTGGTTTTGACCAATAGACAAAGTTTGTTCTGTCATTTTAATAGAATAACCTTGAAAATAGTCAAAAGTTCCTATTCTATATATTGTATTAACATTAGTTTTAGGTATTGTCCAATCATTCAAACTTTGTTTTATGCCATTAACGGTTTCTTCAATAGAATTTATTTGATTATCATAATCTTGTTCATTGTCGATATTTTTACCAGGAATATATTTTTTGGATAGTATGCGTGAAAATTTACTCATATTCAATTAATTTTGCTTTAAAATTCTATAAGAAAACTTACTTGTTTTAATAACGATGAACAGAGGCGAATAGTCTCGACGATGATTATGGTCCGGCACCGCGACTTACGTCCTTATCTGCGCGTTTTACGCTAATCCAACCAATCACTGGTCTTGTCTCTGAATCATACTTATTAAAACTTGTAAATTTCTTAGAGAATATTAAACCCAAATTAAATAAATATGAAATAAATATATCATGCATAACCACCCCAAAAACTTTTCTTGGCTTTGATACCATTTAGAAGACATATATATATATATATATATATATATATATATATATAAACAAACATCATAGAAACTTTATTTCTGTAAGTCCATGTTTAGTAGGTTGATGCTACGATGTCTATCACATTCATTGTATATCTAGAAACACACATCATAGAATTTCTATGTATCAGAGAGCTTTTTATTTTCTATAACTTTCCACAACCCTTTCAGCTCCCAAAGTACTCTCATATCTCTCTCTCTCTCTCTCTCTCTCTCTCTCTCTCTCTCTCTCTCTCCCCCCAATGGGTTTATCAAATCACACGAGTTTATCAAATAACACCGCTTCAAATTGTTATGCTCGTGTATAATTGGATCTTTTGGATCTTTTGGATCTTTGGTGGAACTAAATCTAACGAGATTGAATGAAACCGTGCTCAATCTCTATGATTTCTGTTATGATAAACGTGTTGCAGAAGATCAAGAGGAGATTGACAGATTCACGGTATTTGTGGGATATATGATGGCGGCAACATCCTTAATTTGCGTGCTCCCTATAGCAGTTGATGTATTGAGGTCTTTCCGCCAACATATGTATTGGTTTCCTACCAAATTTTTTCTGTTGAACAGTACTTCGTTTATATTGATTCTTATGGCATTCATAATGTTGTTGGATACAACATCTATGATGTATAATGTTTTGGATGAAGCGACAAAATATGCCAATATGGCTTTTTTTTGTGCCAATTTATGCACATTTGATGCCTTCTTTGGGAGCAAGAGCAAAGGGCCCCAAAGATTCATTTGCAAATCTTTTTAGTCTTGGTTTTCTTACTGGGAACATCATGTTCAATACATTTCTAGAATATAAAATTGGCATGATCGAGAGCATAACAAAGATATTTCTGGTTCTGTATTTGTTGATGTTGATTATTTGTGCTTATACAGTTAAGATTCCATCGTGTATGAAGTTTTTTGAAAGGAAATATCAATTTACTAGCAAAAGGCTTCTACATGATCAAAATCTGAAAAATAGATTCTCCTTTAAAGTAGAGAATTATTGGACAGATTTGTTGAGTGACTGGAAGAAAAATCCTCTGTTTTATCAACCAAATAGTCACAGTCACAGAGTCAGAATTACTCTCTATCATTCAAGAAATTTCACTATAAACATTATGCTTCTCTGTCTAAAGATAATTCTACTAGCAGCCACAATGGTGCTTCTAGTGGGTATTCTAGTGGCTATGTTTCTTAAATTCATAATATATCAGTTTAAGAAATATATGTCACTTAATCCTTCTGAAGTTGATGAAGAGTTTGGGCATGAAGTCTTAGCAATAGAAAATAAAATGGCAATTCATCGGGAAACATTGAAAGTTAGTCTCTATGATGTTAGGGGCTTGATCGAAAAAGGTAGAAGCAAACAAGACTTCCATTTGATACAGTTTCTTCAACGCCCCACAACGTTCCAAGGATTAGCGAATTTAGACCAACTTCCAGAAATCGACAACTTTCACGTTGCTAGTGGTTGGAGTTTGAGTATTGTTACTTTAACAACGTTAGCAATTGTTCTCCCCGAAATTGATGCAGCCAAAACTGAAAATTTGCTCAAATGTGTCAAAAAAGGTCTGGAATATGTTAATGTTGTTGAAGAAAACTGCAACATTGGTCACCCGTATCAACAACTCCGGAGAGCAGCCTCTAAATTATGGATAGAAGTGGACAGTAGATGTATGTGGGTTGGAATGAGTCTCGACAAACAGGCTTTTGAAGGAAAGGAACCGGTGCAGATCATTAATATATTTGTTGACAAAGCACTTAACATTGTTAATGGAATTCTCAAAGATTTTGATGGAGTCCCGAAGGATGATCTTCCACCGAAACTCGTTATTGCAAATGCAATGTTTCGTGTTGCGGTTACATTAAGCGCCCAGCTTGGCCCAAGAAAATTATCGGTTGAAACATTGCTTTTGGATAGGATTGCGGATATATTGGTGGCATGTTTGACGAACATTCCAGAACTTATAAAAAAAATGTTCTCACGGTATGTCTGAAACGCAAAGAAAAAATGTAAAGGTGGCAGCGAAGCTCCTAGGTAGATCCGAAAGGATCTTAGAAGTGCTTTCTGTGCATGGCATGCCACAACTGGATGTGAAGAAAATGACGTTCGTCGACGACTGGCGTTCTTTTTTCCAAGTCTAGATGGGGTATAAGATGTAAGAAGAAATGTTAATGTCATGAATAGTGTAACAACCGGTGGAAGGGCCGAAAATAAGATTCAGCATGCTTTTGTTATTCTTATCATTTCGATATTGGAGAGTCGGTCACGATTGTAAGTCTTTATAAATTATTTATTGTAAGATCATTAATATAAACATGTCATTGAACTATTAAAATTTAAAAGATATATTTCCATAAGTTTTTTTTTATTATTTTTATAATTTTGGATTATATATTATTTATTGTAAGCTAATTGTAATTAAGCCTTTATAAATTATTTTATTACTTTTATAATTTTGGATTTTTCTATGTAAGTATAAGTTAGTTAAAGCTATAAATTTACATTCAATTTTTTTTATAAAAATATTAATAGTTGAATACTTTGATTGGATTTTGGATTTTGTTGATAAAATTGACCAAACCGCCTCAAAAAATTTACAAACCACCTAAAAAAATTGACCAAACCGTCTTAAAAAATGTACTAAACCGCCTCAAAAAATTTTGGATATTTTTATGTAAGTATAAGTTAGTTAAAGCTATAATTTTACATTCAATTTTTTTTATAAAAATATTAATAGTTGAATACTTTGATTGGATTTTGGATTTTGGATTTTGGATTTTGTTGATAAAATTGACCAAACCGCCTCAAAAAATTTACAAACCACCTCAAAAAATTGACCAAACCGCCTCAAAAAATGTACTAAACCGCCTTAAAAAATACAACCGCATCAAAAGAAAGTAAACCACCTCATAAAATAAATCAATTACAATTTTCAATCTCCGTCCACATTAATCGCCCTAAAAAATACCTAAACCGCTCCACATTCGTCGTTTGCTTTTCTCTTTAAAACAAAAGACTTATTTATTTGGATTTTGACCCAAATCATGAAGCTTTTTTTGTCAAATATTCAAACCGGTTCTGATCGTAATTACCAAGGGTCAAGAATATTTTTATTTCAATTTTAAGCGGTAATGTTGCTCGAACCTACGCAAATGGAAATCAATGAAAAATCGGCGATACGAAGTGTAAACTATGTGAGTTAATCGATCCAAAAAGCCGAAATCAGAAAAATAACGGTTTAATAGACCTTCTTAGACACTGTTACATTCGCTGAAGTGTTGAGCTTTGACTCACCTTCCTTAGATTCAGTTTTTATTCACTTTCCTTTTCATAGTTGGAGTCTTTAGTAGTAGGGTTAGCTAGCACTACTATACTTATCCCAACTATTGGCAATGATACATCAACTAAGCTGGTGGAAAGCATTATTGTGTGTTTGTACTTCATATATAAGGTGGAAGAATGTTTGCTTTTGACCTCTCACCAAGGTTGTAGAACTCGTTATTCGGTACCTGTTCGACCGACTACCGAGTAGCGAGTACTCGGGAATATTCGGGGAGTACTCGGATTTGGTAATTCATGTAGAAATATTTTTAGGGATATTATATATGTCAAAATCATAAGTTGATTGAAATATATAACAAAATTAGATAAATGTGAATATTCAAAAACTGAAAAACACATAATGGTTTAACTTCGTGAATAATTACTAAAAATTTAAGATATATATGTAGTAATAATCATATGTGAGTGTGTTAAATAATAAATCATTAAGTATATTATACATATTAATCACCGAGTTGACCGAATTTTACAACATTGTTCAGTTCAATAAGGGGCCGATCAGGGAGTACTCGGGATTCTGTAACTCGCCTCGGTAAGGGACCGAGTAGCGAGTACTCGGAGGAGTAATCGGCCAACTCGGGGAGTTTTACAACATTGCCTCTCACTATGTACGGATCCAATAAACAGCTAAAACCGTTTATGGTAGAATCAAAAACTACAAAAGATGGCTACAATTTAGTCTTCAAAAATAGACTTTTCAAAATAAAACAACAACATAATTTTTTTATCGTTATCTCGATCAGATTAAGTGATATTAGTAGGTGCCAATAAGCTATCAAAGGGGTTGATGTGTTATTAGATTAACCTAAGTTTATAAATGTATTTAACCTAATAATGTAACTAAGGTGTTATATGTTTTTTAAAAGGTAAAAACGTGTGCAATCTACGGACCATATTTACAAAATAATAATAATAATAATAATAATACTTTACCAAGCATATGCAATCTGCAAGAAAAAATCTATTTATTTGTTAATTTCTGTAGAATGCTAAAATAAATAAAAAAAATTATAAATATACAAAAAAACTTCACAATTAGAATATGAAACCGACATAAAAAAAATAAAAAAAAATTAATAATAAAAAAAAAAACTAAGGTTGTCTTCTACCAAGTTATGTAATTAATTAATCAAAAAAATATAAAAGAAAAAAAAAGGAAAAGAAAGAGGTTGATTGAGTTTTTGAATTAAGAAAGATATGAACATTGTATTTTGGTGAAAAGTAGTCCCACATTCCCATTAACATGAAACAGACCGAACGTGGAAAAAGCAAAAAAAAAAAAAAAAACAAGACCCTTCAAAATTCAAAAATCAGTCAAATTTAACTAAATTTAATATATATATATATATATTGCAAAAAATGAATTGGGTTAGGTTGTGCAAAAAAACCCTATGACAAACCAAAAACTAAAAATCCTAACAACCGAACCATTTTCAAAAAACGCCAGTTTGCTTTTTTGTTTAAAAAGACCGATTTTTATGTTGGGTTTGGTTTTTGCATATGGTGATTATTGTTTCAGAAAGAGGAATTGATAAAGAGAGAAAAAGGAAAGAAGGGGTAATTGATAAAGAAAAGATGGAAATGTTAGCAGTAATTAGAAATTAGAGCAGATGATTGGAATGGAACTGCAGGTGTCACATTTAAAAGAAAAGAGAGGTGACTCAGGCCTCTTGCTTCAGCATGAGGTGGGATAAATAGGAGATGAATGGTGAAGGCACTATTCATCCCGGTTCATAGTAGACTAAATTACATATGTTGTCTCTATGTTAAATTACACTTTCATACCATTTTTTTTCTTTTTTGTACAGACTTGCAAACCCATTTGTTCAATTATTACACTGTCTTTTTTTCGGTTTTTTCTTCCATCTGTGATGTTTTCTGATTTTGGTTCCCACCCATGACATTACTTTTTAGTAGACATAATATTCGTATACCTTTACAAAATTATTTTCAATATGTAAAACACGAATCACATATATTAATGTATGCCTATTAATGGTAATATATGTCTTTTAAAGCTATATGTGTACCATCTTCTTATTACGTTGGTAAGTGGAAGAGTGCTCCCTGTAATTCACCATTAGGGTGTAATATTGCAATTTAAAAGAAATTTTGTGCATGTCAAAATTAATAAGTCATAAATTTTCTTTTGCTAATGGTTATTATCAACACTAATTACAACAAATTAACTAATTTTGCTCTTATTACCTGTAGCAGTGGCTGCTGTTATGGGTTTTTGCTATGTTATGTTCAATAGTGCAGGGGGTTGGTTTAATTTCGATTTAGTCTGTTAAATTTTTGGTGCAGTAGTATTTTGCTTGGCAATTGGCATTAGTACCTTTAGAGATGAATTAGCTTTGCCTTATCTTGTTTTAGCTTAGCGATTTAGTTAGCTATATAGATCACCTTGAACATAATATATATATATATATATATATATATATATATATAATATATATATATATATATCATATGTTGGCATCATTCTCTAAGAACATTAGTAAATGGTGAAGATAAAAGGGTGTGTTACCTCAAACTCTTCTCCTTCATGATAAATATCACCTTGTAATGTGACTGTTGGTAAGTCTGATATTTGGAAAATGCATCAGAGTACCTACACATTAATTTTAAGATCCATGTCAAAGACTTTGAAGATAGTTCAAAGAGAATAAAGTACAAATACAGAAGTACTTTCAAGGAACATATGATTGTCCCTCTCCATAAGGTCCTTAATATACTCCTCAAAAGTATCAATAGCCGGAAAGACCAACATCACATCCTCTATAAGCTTCTCAATACCATTAAGGTAGGGCTTCTGCTGATTTATTAACACACACAAAATAAGTTTTATATCTTCATATTAACAAGTTCAAAAACAATGACTGTAATGAGTGAGGCTATGCCAACAAACCTTGACAAATGGAATGCTAGTAAGCTTTTGCACCAAATTAAACACAATATTAAACTTTTGGCTATAAATGACTCCAAATGATGTCAATCAAGCCTTTCACAAAACACTAAAAATATAGAGGCATGTCTATTGAGTAACTTCACTTATCCAGAAATGACTTCACTACTTCAGTTTATTAAATAAATTTACTAACAGTTATAAGAGAGATAAGTTTTAAAGATTATTGCACTTAATCCTTGGATGAAAACAGAAAACCATAAAAGGGCTCTTCAAATGGATGTTTTTTTATGGATTTGCATCCAAGTTGGTGAAAAGTTAGCCTAAGATCAGATTCAAGGGAAATAGTAAACATAAAAATAAAGAGTATTCCAGTCACGTATGGAGATAAAGATGAACAAGTTATAAAAATAAAGAGGAAAACAACAAGAAACATCAAACACGTACTCGTTGATATACAGGGATATCACTTGACATGGGTGGAATTAGCTTCGAAAAAAGTTGTGGCGTTCATTACTTTCGTAGAACAGGTCATGGACGACTAAATTAACAACATCAACAGGTTCAGCCATAGTCGTTAACAAAGAGCTCCATCTCGCAAGAAAACAGAAGTTAAAGTTAGGTGAGTTTACAAGCCAAGCATGGGCTAAGGGAAGACACAAAATTGATTAGGAACTTAAACTTGATGTGCAAAAGAATTGATGATAATCGAACCTTGTAGTTGTTACACTGAATGAATAGAGCCAAATCAAGCCCTCTCTATTATGTCACGCCTCCTGTTCTTCTCCAATCTCCAATTTTTCAAAGTATTATGCCTTTTTCTTCTTGATGATACCAGTTCTTGGGACGAGGACCATACATAGCACAGCCATTATTCTTTTTTCACAGGAATGGTGATGGATTTACAGGTTGATAACCTTTGGTAAATTTCAAGAAAAGTGGCAATGGACGTAAGACACCAATAATAGTACTACAGGAAGCTTCACGGAAGCTCCCTCTCCTGCAAGTGATGCTGATTTTGCCATATTTAAGTTTTAACCAAGCACATCGCCTCTTCCAATATTTTAAAGGAAAGCACCAGTCGGCAATGCACCATAGACATGTCTCTGCAATATGCAATAAATATGAAAATGAAATTAGGAAAAAGACAACCAGGTGGGCTCCAAGATTTGCAGGTTTTATTGAACACTGGTATAGCAAAATTAGAACCAAAAATTTAGGAAACTCATACCTAAGAAACCAGAGCGTCTTCCAAACAAGTGTGTCGATCCAGAGCGTCGTTGTCCTTCAAACGTTGAGCGATATTTTCTTCTTCGAAACATATTAATGCGTTGTAGACAAAACACGAAAGGTGCTGAAAAAATGGAGTCCACTTGAGTTGCACAAAAGGTGTTTGATGAAATGCTTAAAAGAGATGTTTCCTGATGCCCAAAATTGCCGACATAGTTATCACCTGTAATTCATCTCTGTGCATAAACTGAGTCTTCAGATTAGCAAATTGAGTCCTTTAAATCTTTGTTTTTTTAATTTGCAGGTCTGTAAATTAAATCTTTTAATGATCTAATCGGTGGTTATGGGTTAAAATGTTTACTCACTTGAAACTAGTAATTTGGAGAGACAACAGTTGTTGTTCCACCGGAACAATCATCTCTGTTTTCTTTGGCTCTACATACCATGAATCGTCAGAGGCGGAGGGTTGCCAGGGAAAGAAGGATGTGATATGAGGATGTCATGTTAGAGCAGGAAAGAGATTGGGTGGGGATCAGTTTACCGATGCCGGGAGTATTATGGTGGTGAAGAGTTGCCGGCGGAGAAGAAAAGAAGATGAGGAAGATCTCGCGGGACGTAGTATTGGGGTTTTCACAGGGGGTATAGGAACGAGGTGAATATGTAAATAGGGTGGACCATAAATTTAATTATTATTTTTTTTAATAAATGAAAAAACTAAAAAATCCTTATAAGGGCAAAATAGTATTTTTAGACAGATAGGGACCAAGTGTGCAACAAAAATATAAAGTAGGGACGTTCCGAATTAAAAAAAATTGTTCGGGACGAAACACGCAGATTACCCTAAACCACAGAGACCATCCGTGTAATTTGCCCTATATATAAATAAAACTTATTAACATCATTTTCTTGTGTTAGCATACTTGTATATTGTATTTTATATAGTGCAATGTTTTATTAGTGTTTAGCTCATTATATCTAGTAGCCCATATGTATGTATGCAGCCCATGTATGTATTGTATATTGTATGTACTTATGCAGCCGATTATATCTACTCTTTAGCGTACTTGTACATTGTATGTATTTATATGTATGGAAAGGCATCTAGCCAAGTTATGGGAAAATATTGATCCAATCATGATATCTGAAACATCTTAAAATTACAGTCCAGAATTTTCATTTTTAAATCATTAATAAAACCATAATATCATTTATCATATAAAAATCATAAGTCATGTATCTCAAAATATCATAACATCAGTTGAATATATCAGAGTATAAACATCCCAGTCTAAATAAATAGTGTGTGCACAACAATCATCCTGAGCTCTTCCCCTTGCTACAGGAAGTACCTGAAACCAAAACTGAAAACTGTAAGCACGAAGCTTAGTGAGTCTCCCCAAACTACCATATATCATACATATAATCACATAATAGCGTACATTGGGCCTTGCCCACTACATCGGGCCCCGCCCGACATCGGGCGAATCTGGCATCGGGCCGAAGTCTGGTATACATATAACATATCACAAGCATATAACATAAACACATAATCATAAACATATAAACATTCTTCGGGCTTGCCCCGACATCAGACCGAATTCCGGAACACATAACACATAACATATAAGCTAACATTCCACGGGCTTGCCCCGACATCGAACCGAAGCCCGAAACATATAAACAAATCACGAAGACATCAAGCATACAAACATTCCCCGAGCTTGCCCCGACATCGGACCGAAGTCCGGAAATATATAATCTACATCGCTCTAGCCCCGACATCGGGCCGAAGTCCGGCATACACTAATATACATAAACAGGGCGGCATTGGTGCCTTAGACCCGTTCCTATAGGAGAAGACTCACCTCACAAGCTGAGTGCTGAATCTCTCGGTGAGGAAATCTCTATCGGCTGCTTCTGCGACTCTCCATCTATCATTACCACAATATCACATGGTCAATATCTAAAATCTTTCTTAGGGTAAAATGACCATTTTACCCCTGGTCAAGGTCAACATTCTGGTCAAAGTCAACGTTCGGGATTGACTTAACTTGCCGAGTTGGCCTATCAACTCGCCGAGTTCTATAACTCAAAAACTCTGAAATCGCAATCCAGCTCGCCGAGTCATCCCCCTGACTCGCCGAGTTCCCTGGCTATTCATAGTTGCGATTAAGCGAGTCAACTCGTCGAGTCATCCTCAGACCCATCGAGTTCTACCAAATCCAGAATCAGGACAACTTGTCTCAACTCGTCGAGTCGTCCTCAGACTCGTCGAGTTCCCCTGTCTATTTGGGCAATTATAACGGATTGAGCCCTTACACTTCAGATCTAAACTTCTTGCTTTTCATACCCACTGAAAATGTCCATTTAAGGATACACTTTCCAACTTTACCTGTTAATACCCTCATTTGACGGGTTTGGTTCAAACCCTAACTCTCTAGAACTTATATCTTGGTCTACAAGTCATCCACACTCCATATTAAGGCATACAAATAGAGATCTGGGCCTTAGACACCATTTGAACACGTAAAGCTTCTGCCTTTTTCTCCATGCATGCATGGCCTTTTGGGGCTTAAAAGGCCAAGATGACATCTTAGAGCTTGCATGGGGGCTCGAATGGCATAAAGTTTGCACCTTTATGCCATAACAACCCTTAATGATTCCAGATCTGAAGGTGTACTTGCTTGGGACATCCATATCCCAAGGATCAAGCTTCTTAGACCAAAAACCCAATAAAGTGAAAATAAGGAGATCTAAGAAACTACTAGGAAAGTTAGAGGTTTGATTACCAGAAAATGATGGGAATGGAAGGAAATCTCTGGATCTGCTATCTTCTCCTTGAATCCTTAGCTTCTTCTTCTTCCACGAGCTTCAAGAACACACCAAGATCACTCAAAAATGGCTCACAGGCTCACAAATGCGTTAGGGTTTTTGAAACTAGGGTTGGGACTTGGAGGCTGGAAATGAGGCCAACAAGTGGGATTAGGATGGTTAAATAGGGTGCAAAACTCTGAGATTAGGATTTCATCCTGGCAGCCCTACTCGTTGAGTCGAGGCTCTCAACTCATCGAGTAGGTGATGTAAATCCCGCGTCCATTCTGGTTTCTACTCGACGAGTTTGGGGATCCCAACTCGTAGAGTATCTCTATAAAAGTGAATAAATTGTAATTAAATGCGTACCAGGAACCAGGCGTTACAATTCTCCCCCACTTGTCTTAGACTTCGTCCTCGAAGTCTGCTGCGCCGGGAAACAGCTCCGAGTAGTGCTCCCTCATCTCCTCCTCAGGCTCCTAAGTCCATTCTGAACCCTTGCGGTGCTGCCACTGCACCTTTCACCAGCTTAACCCTCTTGTTCCTCAGCTCCTTCGTCTTCTTGTCGAGAATAGCTACTGGTCTCTTGATGTAATTCAGGCTGTCATCAACCTGAATATCCTCAATAGACACGATCACTGAGTCATCCACTAAGCACTTCTGCAGCTGAGAAACATGGAAAGTGATGTGGATCTGGCTGAGCTCTTCTGGAAGATCTAAACAGTAAGCAACCGGACCTACCCGAGCCAACACCCTGAACGGACCGATGTATCTGGGGCCCAGCTTGCCCTGCTTCCTAAACTGGATGACACCTTTCCAGGGTGACACCTTCAGGAGGACCATGTCGCCCACCTGAAACTCCAAGTCTGAACGGCGCTTGTCGGCATAGCTTTTCTGCCGACTCTTGGATGAACAAGTAGAGATTGGATAGTAACATTATTAATTATGAATTATTAATGTGATTAATCACATCAAGTTTTCTTTATGTTTCATAACTTTTAGATTGACTTGTTCGGTTGATCTATTATGAATATTGATTTCGGAATCGGATACTTTTTTTTTAAATTCAGTCTCAAATTTGATTATCATTTTATCAATATCAATAAAATAGTAATAGCAATCTATTAATTTATATCCCCAAATATTTAGGTCACAATGTGGCTAATTTTTCTAACTATATATTTTTTTCTCTTATTTACATCTAATATTTTTATGCTAGGTTGGTAAACAGAGAGATGCCAATTTGAATCAAATTGCCCTGTTAGAAGGTAAAGTTGCATGTGGAAATAGAGATCAAATTTTAAACAGGGATATGTATATTGTTGGTCTACCTTTTGACTTTTTCAAAATGTTGTCTTTCTACTTCACCACAGTTGGTTACTATGTGTGCACAATGGTAACCTACTTTCCCAATTCCTTTTTCATTACAACTTTCAACAATCTTTCGTTCAACATTCCTGGTAATTTTTTCATAGAGTTGTTATTTTAACATTTTAAGCAAAACAACATTTTTAACATGCAAAATGTTTCTGCAGAAAAAGTGTTATATGAATAGAGACTTTTTTTTGCACCAATTGAATTGTGTGAATGAAAGTCAATGACAATTCTACCCTTTGTCTGCTATTAATTTTAAATGCAAATTACCATTTTACCCTTTCATATCAGTCAAACCTTGATATAAACATGGGGCAGTCATGACTCATGAGCATGCTTTTCCATCTCTCCCCCATGTCTCACAATCTTGAATTACATGATGGGACATCAAAATGAGCACATGTTTTACAATAACTTAACATCCCATCTCATTTTTTTAGGCAATGCTGAAGGCTACCCAAATCTCATTAAAAGGTGACATTAACCAAAGTTTTAATAGGGGCAGAATATGTTTTTAAATCTCATCTAAAGGCATCATAACACAAATCTTCAAGAAGTGTACGTAAATGTATCCTTGAAGATCAATCTAACGTTGAAGGGTTCCGTTTTATATTCAATACAGGGAAACGATGGACATTTTTGCACAGATAGAATTTCTTATTAACAATGTAATGGAGAGCGGAACATGACAGTAAATATAGGGTCAAACAGAATGTTGAAAGGAAAAGTATAAGAATTCTAACCTCTAGCGATTAGAAGTGAGGATGGGTGACTGAGTAGAAGATTGATCCAATCTGATGTGTAATTGTCGTTTTTAGAACAGGGGACATTTTTTGTTGTCTCTGTCTTGGTTTTATCATCGAATAGTTCCAATTTCAAGACCCTCTCTGCAATGAATCGAAGAAGCACAGATTTTTTAAGAATCCATCGTTGGCCAGTTTAACCTGGGCGAACCCTAACCCTTGTTTGAGTAACTGAAAATTAAACCGATTACTTAACTCTTCTTCTTGCATCAACGGTGATGAGAATCACGATTGCGAAGAACATGGTCAATGCATCCGCAGGAGCGTGTCAGCGTGCGAATGAGGAATCTCTACAAGTTCAAGCGGATATGGCAGAGTGGAATATAAGGCGTTGTGAATGAAATTTGTCCTTAGCGTCGTTCAGAAGATAGGTTACGTACGTGAAGTCGATACGACACATGAGAGTACAATGCAATTTGAATCGTCCTTGGATGTTCATGCCGTCGTTTAGAAATAGGGTACGCGGTAGGAGATAAAAAAAGGCTTTTATTATATATATATATATATATATATATATATATATATATATATATATATATATATATATACACTAGGGGAATGCTCGCGCGTTGCGCAGAAACACCTATATAGTTGAAATCTTTACAAATATATATTTTATTTAATATAGCAATAACGTTGTTGTTAAATTTAATATAATAATTCGTATACTAAATTGATATAATGTATT